TTATTCATGAGAGGCACACAGAAAGAGAAAGAGAGACACAGGCAGAGAGGGAGAAGCAGGCTCCATGCAGGGAGACTAACGTGGGACTTGATCCCAGGTCCCCAGGATCACACCCTGGGCTGCAGGCAGCACTAAACCACTGCGCCACCCCGGCTGCCCTGATTCTTTTCTCTTTAAAGCCAAGAGTGGAGGGAGGGTGCAAGAGAAGTTCTCATAAAGACTGAGGATGTCTGGGAATGTTCTGGATAAATTCCTTTTGGGTCTCTAAATCCATTTTGTACTCTTATGCACTGTTCTGTTTGACCTGGGAAAATGATCTTAGGGGATATATATTAAAATATATTTTAAAAATATATTATTAAATTCAATATACTTTCAAATATATATTTTAAATTTAATATACTTTAAAATATTTTTAAATTTAAATAAATTATTTAATTTTTGTCAGTTAGCATTAGTGCAATATTGGCTTCTGGAGTAGAATTTAGTGATTCATCACTTACATACAACACCCAGTGCTCATCACAACAAGTGCCCTCTTTAATAACCATCCCTCACACCCCTCCCTCCATCAACCCTTAATTTGTTCTCTGTTGTAAGAGTCTTTTATGATTTGTTTCCATCCCTCCTTCTTTTTCTTTCCCCCTCTTCCCCTGTGTTCATCTGTTTTCTTAAATTCTACATATGAGTGAAATCATGTGATATTTGTCTTTCTCTGACTGGCTTATTTCACTCAGCATAATACACTCTAGTTCTCTCCACGTTGTTACAAATGGCAAGATTTCATTCTTTTTAATGGCTGAAAACTGTTCTGTTGTATATACGTACCACATCTTTATCTATTCATTAGTTGATGGACATTTGGGCTTTGCCATAGTTTGTCTATTGTCAATAATGCTGCATAAACATCGGGGAGCATGTACCCCTTCAAATCAATATTTTTGTAGCCTTTGGGTAAATACCTAGTAGTGCAATGGCTGGATTGTAGGGTAGTTCTATTTTTAACTTTTTGAGGACCCTTCATACTGTTCTCTAGAGTGGCTGTACCAGGTTGTATTCCCACCAACAGTGCAAAAGGGCTCCCTTTCTCCACATCCTCGCCTACACCTGTTATTTCTTATGTTGTTAATTTTTGCCGTTCTGACAGGTGTGAGGGGACATCTCATTGTGGTTCTGATTTGCATTTCCCTGATGATGAGTGATGTTGAGCATTTTTCATGTGTCTGTTGGCCATCTGGATGTTGTCTTTGGAAAAATGTCTATTCATGTCTTCTGCTCATTTCTCAACTGGATTATTTGTTTTGGGGGTGTTGAGTTTGGTAAGTTCTTTATCAATTTTTGGATACTTATCCTTTATCAGATATGTGGTTTGCAAATATCTTCTCCCATTCCATAGACTGCCTTTTAGTTTTGTTGATTGTTTACTTTGCTGTGCATAAGCTTTTTATGGGTTGTATTAATGGGCTTTCATACCCCCTTCGTTTCTAGCTAGATTTGTCCAATGGAGAGCTTCCATAGGAGGTCAAAGGGAAGGAGGAGCATGAGGTCAGCATGTTTATTCCCTGGGTCCCTCCCTAAAAGTTCATTTTAGGCTATGTGACTTGACAAAAGGACACTGCACCTTTCAAGGAAGCCTTCCTTAGAAAGCTTTCTCTTTCTAGGTTTTAGTAATCTTTTCCTCGGCCCATGGGTGGTGACAGCTTTAGAGCTGATGGACTCAGGATCTTGTATTCCTTTGTAGTTCTCTCATACCCTACCCCTTCTTTATGAATTGTCTCCTCCAATTATCCTATTTTAAATGTGTCATCTATCTTCTATTGAGTCCTTGGCTGATGCAGGAAATCAGCAGAATGTGAATCTCCCAGGGCCATCACTGGCATGTAGGACAGTGAAATAAAAGTTAGTCTAAGGGTTCTGATGCCCCAGGAGTATGAAGGATTGCCATTTCAGAAGCACAGGGAATGATTTGTCTTCTGAATTTGGAGACATACTTTAATGGTTTTTTTTTAAATTTTTTATTTATTTATGATAGTCACAGAGAGAGAGAGAGAGAGAGGCAGAGACACAGGCAGAGGGAGAAGCAGGCTCCATGCACCGGGAGCCCGACGTGGGATTCGATCCCGGGTCTCCAGGATCGCGCCCTGGGCCAAAGGCAGGCGCTAAACCACTGCGCCACCCAGGGATCCCTGGAGACATACTTTAAAATAGAAACTTGTGTTTGCTACTGGTCTGGAGGCTTTGGAATGAAGGAATCTTATTGGGGAGTTTTGAATCAAGTAAAGAGTTCCAAGAAGGCCTGAAAGAATCTTAATATATTTTGCCCTGGGTCCATTGTCAACTCATCCTACTTCTCTGCAGTCTTTAAGGTGTACAGAGGAGGGTATCAGTGATTCCTGTGGCTCCATGTGAATGGGCAGAAGCCAAGGGACTGCAGGTTTTTCCAGGCCAAACAATGGGACATCTAGCCTGAACGTGGCATTGGAATATTGCACTGAAGAAACCTGGCTCCTGCTTTAGGAGTTGTTTCGATAGGAAGGATAAGCATGAAGCTAAATGCTGCTCCAAGGACCAAACATTACTTGTATAGACCATCATATCCACACAAGCAACCAGTGGTGGATGGCAGACATACCTCTGATGAGCGACGTCAGTGAGATTTTTCTATGGTCTCCTTCGAAGGATGTAAGAGAGCACAAAATTCAAAGACAGAGAAATAAACCACAGTAAGAGCGACATACTGCAGGTGGGTTTTTTTTTAAGATTTTATTTATTTATTCATGAGAGAACCGGGGAGAGAGAGAGAGAGACAGAGAGAGAGAGAGAGAGAGTGAGAGAGAGAAAGAGGCAGAGGGAGAAGCAGGCTCCATGCAGGGAGCCCTATGTGGGACTTGATCCCTGGTCTCCAAGATCCTGCCCTGGGCTGAAGGCGGCGCTAAACCACCGAGCCACCCGGGCTGCCCTGCAGGTGGGTTTTAAGTGATAATAAATGGTGTGTAAATTGTGATCAGATTGGCAGGCAACTGAAATGTGAAATGTAGGATCTGGGGGCTGAGTCAGTGGAGAGAGTGTCAGAAGGTTCTTCCTTAAGTAGAATTTGAGGCTCTGGAGGACAATGGTAGTTTATAGAGTAGAGGTGATGTCTGTCAGGGGTTGGAGTCAATGTGAAGAAGAGGAGAATGCCTCTAATTTGGGGGGAGGAAGAAAACAGGGTTTACTGGCAACGGTGTGAGTGGTGCAGAAGAGAGTCCCTGAGAGATGGCAGTAACACTGCTCTGTGGGTGTGTTGTTTGGTGAGCATTGAGGTTGCTCATGGTCCCTGATTCTTGAGGATTAGGAGAGGTGGCTTCAGTGGACATGGTAGCATCTGAGAATGAGTCGATTTTACAACGAAGCTTCCAAATCACCTATATTGAACCATCTTATCAGGTAATAGACACTGAGCATCTCTCCAATGAACACCGACAGGCCCACAGTGTGCCAGAAGCACACGGCTAGTGGACTCATTCCTGCCATACCTGTCACCTGATGCCCACCCCTGGAGGCCTTCTGTTTATCACGAATAGTGTGTACACCCCCTAGACTGTCAATGTGTCTCATACTTGTTATTGTAACTATGCAATTTACAAATTGATGGAAAGAGTAAACAGAAAGGCATTGTTTTTATTAAAACCAAGTTGAAAAAAAAAACAAGTTGACTGCTTTACGACTGTGAACAGGGATCGTTTTAAAAAAAATCACTGCCAATGCATAGGAATAGACAAGACAGCTGTAAATGGTTTGAGGAAAACTGGACAGATCTGAAAAGATATTGAATGTAGTCTTTCCTCCACAAGAATCTTTAGGTTTGAGCTCCTTTTTAAATAATGTCAACTCACCTGGGTGTAGTTTACACAAGAAAGACCCAGGGAAGCTCTTATTGTGGATTCATGCTCAGAAAACATTTGAGCGTGACTGTTCATTTTTGGTTCTGTTTTATTTTTTTAAAGATTTTATTTATTTATCCATGACAGACACAGAGAGAGAGGGAGTGACACAGGCAGAGGGAGAAGCAGGCTCCCTGCGGGGAGCCCGATGCGGGACTCAGTCCTGGGACCCCAGGATCACTCCCTGAGCTGAAGGCAGACGTTCAACCACTGACCCCTTTGGTTCTGCTTTAAAGCAAAAATGTTTAAGATTTGTGTGTCTACTTTTTGAGTCCCTCTTGATCCAGCTATTTTGACTAACCAATTATAAGTCAATATGCAGAACTAGAAGCAACGTTCGAGCAGAAGGCTGTGGATTCAAGGCCTTCTGTTCGCAACAGAACAGGAGGTTCAGGCAGGAGGCAAGCCCACGATGCGCAGGAGCGCTGGGGAGGGATGGATAGAAATGAGTATCTGAAGAAGGAATCTGGGAGGGATTTGTGCCTGGCACAGCAACTGTCCCTAAGGAGGACAGGGAGAACCAAAGATCAGGAGGTAGCAGGGGGAAGAACTGATCCTGATGGGACCCTTTACAGGTGCTCAGCTGAGATGCTGGCTCCACAGAGCCTGTTTCAGGAAAGCCCCATGGAAGCTTCATGATTGTTTTGAAGAGGAATTCCCAACTCCCCCTCTTGACTCCACTCAGGACAACAAGCCCGACTCCTCCACCTGTCCAGCAGTATCTCATACTTGTCCTCAACAACAAGCCCTGGATCCTTGTCAAGATGGTTTACTCACTTTCCACTGAAAAAAACACCCCCGCACTTCAAACCTCCCACGGCTCCACTGTTGTCACCTCATTCATATATTCATTTATTCACTATTTGGGGGGTGGCTCGTGGGCCAGTCTGAACGCCCCTGTGTGTAGTTGGCTACTGGGTGTGGACCTGACATCAGGGAACGTTTCCAAATGGATCCGTGTGGGTTGTCCCTTCAGGAGCTGCCGTGAGAATCCTCGGGTGTGGACGGTGGTAGGGACACAGGTGTCTGGGTGGAGCGGACCTGTGGGTGGGAGGCAGGGACCTTGGGAGCCGAGGCTGCAGGGACACTGGTCTGGGGCGGCCTCCCGGGGAGGGGGGGCAAGAGGGCTGGGCCTCGCACTGGTTAAATTGCTCACCTTCCCCAGCCCCGCTCCAAGTCCGAGCGGCTCCAAGCCTGAGCGCGATGGGCAAGTACACGATCCGCGTGGTCACCGGGGACTCGCTCCTGGCGGGTTCCTGCAACCAGGTGCAGCTGTGGCTGGTCGGCGAGCACTGGGAGGCCGACCTGGGGAAGAAGCTGAGGCCCGTGCGCCGCGGGGTCAGTGCGCAGCCGGCGGGGTGCGGGGCTCCGGGTGGGGGACGGGCGGGGCCGCGGGGCTGCCTCACCTTCAGGCGGACTCGGGTCTCTCCGGGGACGACTCCGAGGGGAAGGGGGCTCTCTGAAGGGGCGTCCCCCCCACCCCGTCTGACCTCGCTCCCCGCCCCACCGACAGACCGAGTTCAAAGTCGGCGTCCCCCTCCACCTGGGCCGCCTCCTGCTGGTGAAGCTGCGCAAGGACGAACACTTGGGGGACTTCGACTGGTTCTGCAAGTGGATCTCCGTGCGCCGCCCCGGGACCAACGGCGAGGCCCTATTCCCCTGCTACAGCTGGGTGCAGGGCTCTGGGATCGTCTGTCTGCCCGAGGGCACCGGTGAGGGCGGCGGGGCAACGCGGGGGGCGGCGGGGGGGACGCCGGAGGAAGAGGGGTGGGGGGATGCTGTGATGTAAGAGGGGAACACGTGAGGCAGGACAGGTTGTGCAGGGTGAAAGGGTGGGCCCCGTGTCCCCTTCCCCAGCCCGGACCCGTGAGCGACGACCAGAGCCTGTTTAAGACGCACGGAGAGCAGGAAATCCAGAAAAGAAAGAGGATGTACCGGTGAGTCCAAGCAAGCCTCTGATCCCCCACCAGATCCCAAGAAACCCACCGTCCCACTCATCCCCGATTCCGTGTTCTCCCTCCAGGTGGGGGTCCTGGAAAGATGGGTTAATCCTGCCTGTAGTAGGGAGAACACCGTGGGACCTCCCCAAGAATGAGAGATTCCGGGAGGATAAGGATTTTGACTTCTCTTTCTCGCTGGCAAAAGCGTATGTGCCAGGTTGGGTTGGCACCTGCACCCCAGCATGCAAAGTAGGGTCCTTTCTTGATCTCCTAGCATTGCCATTCTTTCCGCAGGTTGGAGGGCTTGGTCCTCAGGGGACACTGGAGCTCACAAATCCAGTTAAAAGACTGGAAGATTTCAAAAGAATATTCCCAAGTGCGAAGACTGCGCTGGCTGGTCAGTTACTACAATCTCCCCAAATCTATGTACATATTTCCAATGCAAGGCTTTGTGGGGTTTTTTTAATAAGATTTTATTTATTTGTTCATGAGAGACACACAAAGTGAGGCAGAGACTCAGGCAGAGGGAGAAAAGCAGGCTCACTGCAGGGAGCACGATGGGGGATTTGATCCCAGGACCCTGGGATCACAACCTGAGCCAAAGGCAGACGCTCAACCTCTGAGCCACCCAGGCATCTCTCCAATGCAGGGCTTTGACAGAAGAGGGGGAGAGGGTAGGGAGAGCGATCTGTTAGTAGGATCAGAGGCACAGAACTTAGAGCATGCTCCCCACCTGATGTCTTTAGAGAAGGTTCGAAATTCCTGGAAGGATGATGCCCTCTTCGGGTACCAGTTCCTCAGTGGTGCAAACCCCATGCTCCTGAGGTGCTCGAGCAGCCTCCCAGCCCGGCTGGTGCTGCCTCCAGGGATGGAAGACTTGAAGACCCAGTTGGAGAAAGAACTCCAGGTGCTGTGCTCTCTCTTGTTCATCCACAACTCCAGCCATGCTGCCTCCTTCTCTTACCCATCCCTCCTCATTTCCTCCATCAAATACTTTAATCTACACCCTCCTTCATCTGCACTTAGGGTTTCTCAACATTGACAGCCGAGATTTAGGGACAGATAACTGTCGTGGGGGCTGTGCTGTGCGTTGTAGGATGCTTAGTGGTACGAGATGCTAGCAACACCACCCTCATCGTGACAACCAGAAATGCCTCCAGACATTGCACAATGTCCTCTGCGTAGGGCAAAGATCACCCCGAGTTGGTGGAGGACCACTGAATTAACCATCTGCTCCTATTATCCCTCTTTTCTTCCCCCTCTTCCTCCTTTGTAAGAAGCATTCCAGCCTTTGGGAAAAGCTCAGGCTTCTGGAAGGAAAGAAGAAGAGAGATTGAACAAAGCCTCAAAGAGCTGAAACTATGGGGGTTTTTTTGAGGAGAGGATACAGGAACTCCTGTGTGCTATGTTTAGCTAAAGCCTGAGGGGGGATGACTTTGGTTGTGGGGGTTGAGGGCATGGTGGAGAACCAGGAAGTTCACCTCAAGAAGCTCCAAGTCTGATGGAAGATACTGGGCGTGGAAACCTCGCATTCGGGGCTTGGGTTAAGGGAAAACAGATTGATGTTGAAAGGAAAGATTTTTTTTTTTTATTTATGATAGTCACACAGAGAGAGAGGCAGAGACACAGGCAGAGGGAGAAGCAGGCTCCATGCACCGGGAGCCTGACGTGGGATTCGATTCCGGGTCTCCAGGATCGCGCCCTGGGCCAAAGGCAGGCGCCAAACCTCTGCGCCACCCAGGGATCCCGAAAGGAAAGATTTAAAAAAAAGAGAGAGAGAGAGAGAGAGAGAGACTTGATGGGCAGAGGAAGGGACCAGCCTCCCAAATGAAATGGGAGGGTCCAGAATGACCTCATTATCTACCCCTGCTCCTCACCCTCCAGGCTGGATCTCTATTTGAAGCTGATTTCTCCTGCTAGATGGGGTCAAGCTTAATGTAATCATTTTAAAACAATAATATGTAGCCAGCCCTCTGGTTATGCTGAAGCTGCAGCCTGATGGGAAGCTCTTACCCATGGTCATCCAGGTAAGAGGCCCCAGGTATCTTTTGCACAGACACGGATCCCCTTAGAGACTGGGGCACACAGGTCCTGACCCCTCCCCTCTCTCCTGCTCCAGCTGCAGCCTCCTCATCACGGCTGCCCCACACCCATGCTGCCCTCCAACCCCCCTATGGCCTGGCTGCTGGCCAAGACCTGGGTCCGTAGCTCTGACTTCCAGATGCACCAGCTACAGTCACATCTCCTGCGGGGACACCTGATGGCTGAGGTTATTTCTGTGGCCACGATGAGGACCCTGCCCAGCCTGCATCCCATCTACAAGGTATGTCAGCGTCTCTTCTGTATTTGACTGCACTTTGTGTCACACACCCTTTGAAGCCTCGGGAAGCACCTCCACAGAGTCTGACCTTGTACTAGAGGAAGTCGTCTGGGATTTGTAGCTACAGCGGAGGATTTGGCCTAGAACATAACAGTAGGTAGGATGTGCCCGGCCTTTATAAACTGTGAGTGAGGAGTGAAGGAAGACACGGAGCAAGACAAGGGACATCCACTGAGGTGGGAGGGAAACAAAAGGCTTGGTGTTGTGGAGGCCAAGGAGAGAAAGCACTTGAAGAGGGAGGCATGGTTATCCGTGTGACATGCTGCCAAGAAGCCAGCGACATCACAGCCAGAGGAGCCACATCTGGACGTCAGTGTGGAGGCCATTGGTTAATCCACTGACGAGTGATGTCTGGGGGAGTGGAGGTGGCGGCAGGTGACGCAGGTGAAGGGGGAGAGATGGGGCAGAGGGAGCCTTTTGAGAAGACTTGCTGTGGAAGGGAAGCAAGAAGTGAGGAGGCTGCTGGGAAGGCATGCATGCGGGGAGAAGCTAGGATTTTCTGTGCCAAGGTATCCAGGATGAGGCGTGTGTGTGTGTGTGTGTGTGTGTGTGTGTGTGTGTGTGAAAGAGAGGGAGACAGAGAGAGGGACAGGAGGGGGGGGAGGGAGAGGGGTGGAGAGAGGGGGAGGAGGAGCGAGGAGGAGAGGAAGGAGAGATTGCCAGGGGTGACATCCCAGGGAAAGCACAAGAGGACAGGAGACATTTGCCTTTGCAGGGAGCAGAGATTCTTCTTCTTCTTTTCTTCTTCTTTCTTCTTCTTCTTTCTTCTTCTTTCTTCTTCTTCTTCTTCTTCTTCTTCTTCTTCTTCTTTTCTTCTTCTTCTTTCTTCTTCTTCTTCTGTCTTCTTCTTCTTTTAGATTTAATTAATTAATTTATTTAAGAGAGAGAGAGAGAGAGAGCATAAACAGGGGGATGGGCAGAGGGAGAAGCATACGCCCCATGGAGTAGGGAACCCAATGCAGGACTCAATCCCAGGACCCTGGAATCATGACCTGAGCTGAAGGCAGAAGCTTCACCGACAGAGCCCCCCAACCCTGGCGCCCCCCACAGATACTTCCTTGAGGGGAATAAGACACAGGCATGAGATAGTTTCACATGTGGGACCTTTGCTAGGTTTTGTGGTGCGAGACCAGAGAGTCCTGGGATTCTTAGAGATCATGTGAGACTGTACACTCCTCAACCTGGGGAGACCTTGGGAAGACCTTTCCCCATCTGTCTTCTCCCACATCTTACCCTGACCCACTCCAGTCCAGTGGGACGTCTGTCATTCTCGTGGAGACCTGCCCTCTGCCTTCTTCTCTGTCCTTGCTCCTTAAATTTCCACTCCCCTCCTGGACCCCAGGATCCCCCCCTTACCAGTCCTGTTCCTTTCTCCCACAATCAGCTCCTGATCCCACACTTCCGCCACACCATGGAGATCAACATCCCTGCCCGGAGCAATCTTGTCTCCAGATGGGGAATTTTTGACCTGGTACGGAGTAGGATGGGTAAGGAGGGCAGAGGGCTCAACAGTGAAAGCATCGGGGATCCCTGGGTGGCTCAGCGGTTTGGTGCCTGCCTTTGGCCCAGGGTGTGATCCTGGAGTCCTGGGATGGAATCCCACGTCGGGCTCCCAGCATGGAGCCTGCTTCTCCCTCTGCCTGTGTCTCTGCCTCTCTCTCTATCATAAGTAAATAAATAAATCTTAAAAAAAAATAAAACATTAAAAAAAAACAGTGAAAGCATCCCGATGGGTGTTTGGCTGGCCCCACCACCCCCAGCCCTGCATCCCCCATGAAGGCATCTCCCTGATTCCCTCACACCCGGGGAGGGACCTGAGAGGGAGGGACCATTGACTAGAATCTGACCCTGAAACCGGCCCCCCACCTCCACCCCCTGGTGGCTGATCCTGGTATCTGCGGTGGGGTCGTCCTCAGGGGGTGAGCACCAGTAGCGGAGGCCATGTGGACATTCTCTAGAGAGCCACAGCTTGCTTGACCTATCATTCCCTCTGCCCTCTGGCCGACCTGGCTGACCATGGGCTCTTGGATTTGAAGGCTTCTCTCTACGGCCAAGATGCCCTCAGGCTGTGGGGGATCATCAGCTGGTGAGGGTGACGCAGAGAGGGCGACCCAGCGGGCTTGCTGGAGAGAAGGAGGAGGGGGTGGGCCACAGGTCCAGCTGGCCCCGCGGTCGGCCGCCTGGGACCAAGGGCTTTCTTGCCGGGGAGCAGGTACGTGGAGGGGATGGTCAGTCTTTTCTACATGACTGATGAAGCTGTGAGGGATGATCCAGAGCTGCAGGCCTGGTCCAGAGAGATCACCGAGACGGGGCTGCAGGGTGCCCGGGACCGGGGATAAGTGCGAGCCCCTCCCCACGACCCGTGTCACCTCACCCGTCCATCAACAGTGCACACTCACAGTGTCGTAAGCCCCCTACCGTGGGTGCCCTGAGCACCCCGGGGGGCTCACCGGAGCATCCTCCAGAAATCCTCCTGCCCTCGTGCACCCAGAGCTCCCTCCGCAACCAGACCCTTTTCTCCCGAGTATTTTCCATCCTCTCTGTAGCACCTGACGGTGCCTTTCACTGACATGATGCTTCTGTTATGTCCTGGTCTCAAAGTCGCTGCTTCCCTTCTGGTCACCCAGGTTCCCTGTCTCCTTAGACACCCGGTTCAGCTCTGCCACTTTGTCACCATGTGTATCTTCACATGCCCAGGTCAGCATGCCTCTGTCCACCTGGGCCAGGTAGGCAGCTGCGATAAGCCCTAGGGGCTCCCGGGATGGAGTCGGCGGGAGGTCGAGTGCTCTGTGGTCAGCCTGGGTTCCTGAGGCTCCTGCACCTGAAGCTGGACTGGTACTCCTGGATCCCCAATGGCCCGTGCACCATGTGGAAGCCCCCGCCTGTCTCCAAGGATGTGACAGAGAAGGATATAGTGGACTCGCTGCCCACGGCCCACGAGGCCCACATGCAGAAGACCTTCACAAAGTTCCTTAGCAGATTCCAGCCCATCATGGTAGAGACCGATGCCGGGGCCCTGGGGGCTAGCGGGGAGAGGAGGCGGCTTAGGAGGGGTGGTATTCTTGGCCGAGGGGCCCAGGGCTGAGCTGTTTTGTTCTCCCCTTCTCAGGGGCCTTGGGGCAGCACAAGGAGAGATATTTCTCAGGCCCTCGACCCCAGGCCGTGGCTGCCGTGGACCAGGAGATAGAGGCTCGCAATGCAGGCCTGCAGCTGCCCTACGAGTACCTTCGACCCAGCATGGTGGAGAACAGCGTGACCATATGAGAGGGGTCACCCCGGAGCTCTGGCCTCCCCAAGTGCCTCTGAGCACCCTCCACGTTCCTTGGCCACATCTTCTTGTGACCAGACTGACCCCCCCACCCCCATGCTGTGTCGTCCAGGCGCCCAAGGCTGCTGCCTCAAACAGCTCCAGGGGACTCACAGGGAGGGGTTCCTGTCAACTTCTGGAGCCCAGCATCCCCTGTGCCCACCCTACCTTAATGTCCAGCCTGTCCTGCACTTCGGCCCTCTCCTTTTCCCCAGAGGATCTGGCTTACCCATCAGTAAAGAAAGACCTGATTAAATAATAAAGTTGGTTTTGTGAGGTCTGTTGCCCTGCCCTCATTCAGATTTCAAGGAAGAAAAATAAGTGCTGTCCTGGAGTAAAAAGGTCTTCCCGCAATGAGTGTTCCCTTCAAGGGCTTCCTTCCGTCCACCGACAGAAGTTTTGAGCGGCTTCTTGGAACCCGGCTGCGGACAGTAGCTCTTGCCTTGATGCTTCTTGGAGTCCTCACCCACCACGTCCCATAGGCTGCCTCCAAAGGTCTCCAGCGTGACCCCTAGCCCCGCCTTCCCTCCATCGTATTCCTTTCCTGGGTATCCCCCAAGTCCCTCTCCAGGACTCCAGATAAACCCTCCCCTCGTTTCTGCTTCTTCCTCCCTCCGGCCATCCAAATGTACATGGTAGCCCACAGTCTGAGACACTGCAAACAGACAAATAAGGAACTAGCTAGAGCAAGTACCAAGGGGTTTCAAATACATGATCTCAATTTATCTACATTGTACTGATGATGATGATGATGATGATGATTATTTTGCCCAGGCACTTCTGCGTACAGCAGGCGTACTGTTGCCTCATGAGAGTACCATGGTTGCTCATCTCCAGCTCAGGAAATGCACTAAATCACATGCCTGGTTGGACCTGCATTCTGGTGCTGTTTTGTGCTATTTTACCAGAATGATGGTGTTATCTGGAATTTTGCAGCACAGCAGCCGTATGTGGGGGGCGGGGGGAATGAATGTGTGCAAGCCTCCTGAGTTCTTGAGCTCCCCCCCACCATTCCATTAGGCTGGGCACCCTGTTCCAAGCTCGTCTCTTCATCTCTGTCACATCCTATTCTGTGGTAATGTAACAGCAGGTCCTCCATATTCGTTTCTGGCCCATAGAGGGATTTCGATTCAAATATCACAGGATTGTCCAAAAAAAATTTATATCATCTATCTATCTATCTATCTATCTATCTATCTATCTACCTATCATCTATCTATCATAGAATTGTCTCCAAGCCTCTACCAGGCTGCCAAGCGGCCTTAGTATGCTTCCTTCTTTGGAGCATTTGCATTGTTCCCCCCCCTTCCCTTGTTTTGAAATAAGCCAAAAGCAACCTAACAAAACCAATCTCCTATTATTTACAAAGAGAATAGTTAATGGTTGGACATGAAAGGATAAAGGGCCACAGCATTTGGCCAGTGTGGACTAAGTACTTTGGACAAAGCAGTTCTATTATGTCTGGGTTTTAAGTCTGCTAGTGTAGATTCTAACCAGATTTTTAGTTTCTAGTCATTCTAACTAGATTTATCTGCCTTTGAGTAGGATGCTAGGCTTGAGGGGTACTAGTGATGGATCGCAGATCTCCTTAATCCCATCAGGGGCTAAGTTTATTGGATGTCGGGCTTCCATCCTATGAGGCCAGAATGTCTAGCCCACTCCTCGGGTGGCCGATCTTTCAGGTCCCAACCAAAAGTGAGACAGAGGGGGCACCTGGGTGGCTCAGTCAGGGAAGCATCTGCCTTGGGCTCAGGTCATGATCTCAGGGTCCCGGGATCGAGCCCCCACGTTGGGCTCCCCACTGAGCAGAGAGTCTGCTTCTCCCTCTCCCTCTCCCTCTGCCCCTCCCCACTCACTCACTCACTCACTCACTCACTCACTCTCTCTCATACATAAATAACATTTTTAAAAAGAGTGAGAAAGAGTGATCAACAGATATGGTGAACAATTAATCACACACATCAATAGCCACAGATTAAAATACCCCTAGAAGCCCCAAACAGGACACAAAAAAAAAAACAAAACAAAACCACACTTCTTCCTAAATAAAGGGGGAAAAAAAGCAAGGAAAGAAATGTAAAAATGCTGAAAACCAAAGATGGAAGAAAAACTTTACAAGTAGCCAGAGGGAAGAAAAATCCCCTTAACTTCAAAAGGACATCAAGAAGAGTGTTTTCCTTCTTTCTTTTCTTTTCTTTTCTTTTTTCTTCTTTTCTTTTCTTTTTTCTTCTTTTCTTTTCTTTCTTTCTTTCTTTTTCTCTTTTTCTTTCTTTCTTTCTTTCTTTCTTTCTTTCTTTCTTTCTTTTTCTTTTCTTTTTTTTTTTTTTCAAATGAAACACTTGGAACGACACGCCGGGTGCTGGAAGACAGAGGGATATCTTCCGAGTGGTAAAAGAACACTGCAGGCTAGAATAAATGAGGAATTTCTACAAATCAATAAGAAAAGGCAGGCAACCCCGTATAGGAATGAACAGAAGACTTATGGCCCTCAAGGGGACACCCAAAGGGCAGCAAATAGACGGAAGGGGTTATACTCATTGATTGTGTCAATTCTGCATCACTTTAACACGTCTGAGGTACCTGGAGGCAGGTGCAGCCTGAGCTTCCCAGGGGCTTCTCCGATCGACTTTGAGGACCACCCATTTCACGGCCACTGAGTGATGGTTAGTGCGGGCTTTTTTTTTTTTTTTAAATTGAAGGATAACTGACATACAATATTGTATTCATTCCAAGCATACAGCATGGTGATTTGATATTTATATACATTACAAAACAGTCACCACGATGAGTCTAGTTACCGTCTGTCACAAAACAGAGTTGTTTTAATATTATTGTCTAGACTCTCTATGCTGTGACTACATCCTGGTGTCTTAATTATTTTATATCTGGAAGTCTGTACTTCTAAATCTCCTTTCCCTATTTTTAAAAAAGATGTTATTTATTTATTCATTAGAGACACATGGAGAGAGGCAGATACACAGGCAGAGGGAGAAGCAGGCTCCCTGTGAGGAGCCCGATGCGGGACTTGATCCTAGGACCCCGGGATCATGCCCTGAGCCAAAGGCAGACACTTAACTGATGAGCCACCCAGGTGTACCACTTATTTTATTTTCAGAAGGAACCTACTAGAAGATTTCAGCATCTAACATAACACTTTTTACTGGGAGAGGCAATCTGCTCTGGACCCTGAGTACCTCTGAGTACCTGATTGCTCTTGAGCTATTTCTCGGTGTTGTTTTCACAACAAGTAACCATAACAAGGTAATATTACCCAGAGACAAAGAACAGAGTTGAATCCACTCATTATAAAAATGTTGTTTTCCCCCCAAACCAGTGGTCTCTCCTATCATGCAACCTGTTTGTGCGGTCATCCATCTAGACCCGCTGTACCTCACTCATGGGTCATGGGAGGGTGTGAGGGACTCATGCCAACATGGGCTCTTCTATTGCTCTTCCTCTGAGTAACCATGTTCTTTGTCTCCAAAGTGGGAAGCTTGAGTCTTCTGTAAACCCCCCAAGAGTAGCAGGCTAGCTGGCTAGTCTTTTTATTATTATTATTCATGAGACACATACACACAGAGAGAGAGAGAGAGGCAGAGACACGGGCAGAGGAAGAAGCAGGCTCCATGCAGGAAGCCTGACATGGGATTCGATCCCAGGTCTCCAGGATCACGCCCTGGGCTGAAGGTGGCACCAAACCTACGAGCCACCCAAGCTGGCTAGTTTTGAGTGGGCTAAAGTCTCTGACCCTTCACAGTTCTTGACACAGTTATCCACTGGCAAAAATTAAAAAGTGACAACATTCTGTTCTGGTGGGGGTGTAAAGAAAAAGGCACCCGAATACTATCCTACAGGCTTTCTGGATAGCAACTTGTTAATATCTAATATACTTTGAAGTATGTGTGTCCCCAGATTCACTGAATTTATATATTAATTATGCAGAGCTTTTTACATGTCAGTCGTTTGACAATGACTCCCATGCAGATGAATCAAGATAGTGCAAAAGTGGCAGCAGTGACTCAGCCTCATGATGTTAACATCTCCTTTTGAATAGTCATCCCAGTTGCTAACAAATGGAACCTGCTTTCACTCTTTCTGGGGTGACATGGCTTCAGGAATCATTCCTGGTGATCCCCCTTGTTTGTACAAATACAAAAGCTCCCCCTGGGGTGGACTCTGTGTATAGCTTACCAAGGAGCGGGCCCACTTTGGTTTGGTAAACACTAGGAGCAATGATCTTACTTGTCTCTGTTTGCAATGTCAAGCATGGTGTCTTACGTGTGATTGAGGTCAGCCAATGCTTAATTCCTGTTCACTGCAGATCCAGCATCCCTCACCTCGCCGCTGTTCCTGCCCTCAGACCCCCACTTGCCTGGCTTCTGGCAAAGGCCTGGATTTCCAGCTGTACCAGCTCCAGTAGCATTTGCTGAACACTCATCTGGTGGCCAAGGTCATGACTGTGGCCACCATGAGGCACCTCCCAGGGCTGCACCCTATCTTCAAGGTACGTCCTCTAGCCTCCACATCCCATTTCTCTTCCATATCAGAGAAAGCAAGCAACCTAACAGCTGACTAGATTTAAAAAGCCCAAGCCATCTGGCTGGGAACACATCAACAAAGCTGCTTGGAATTCAGCAGGCATCTGTATGTTATTGGAGCAAAGAATCTTTGTAACAATTTGTGAATGGGGGACAAGAGAAGGATAACTCATCAAGATCTTGAGCCTTGTAGCTTTATTTCTAAAGTTTACATTCTTTTTTTATTTTGAGATAATTATACATTTTCTAACCATTTTAAGAAATAGTACAGAGGGATCCCATCAACTCTATTAAAATAATCACTTAGCATTTATTCAGCACATGCTGTAAGGCAGCTCTGAAATTCTCCAGTGATGGGTAGGAATATGATTGGATATACAGAAGAAGTGTGGCTCTACTTTGGGAGAGTTAGCATGTAGCTGAGAAGACAAATGGTATACATAAGAAACCACCAGAGGACGATATTTGGAGATTGAAATCAGGAGAGAAAGCAATAAACACTACATTATTGATGGAGAATGTTCTAACACAATTTAGAAGCCATTAAGTAGAAGATTAAAGGGTAAAGGGAGCAGCCTCACGGGGGCACTTTTGCTACTTAAGGAGAGAGATGCAGTACCTGGTGGTTAGAGGAATAGAAGGAAAATGGAAAGACTGCGGAGAAGCAGGACTTGCAGCATGCCTGGATGCAAGGCTGGAGAGAAGGATCTGAATAAAGTCCAAGCGGCTGCCACGCCCAGAG